CACATAGCTGAAGTTCCGTACCTTAGTTCGAATTAGGGGGTTAGTGTAGACCTGGCCATAGACTCATAGACTCTAAGGTCAGAAGGGACCATTATGATCATCTAGTCTGACCTCCCGCATGATGCGGGCCACAAAAGCTGACCCACCCACTCCTGGAATAATTCTCTCCCTTGACTCAGCTGTTGAAGTCCCCAAATCATGATTTAAAGACTTAAAATCTCTGAGAATCCTCCAGCAAGCGACCCCTGCCCCATGCTACGGAGGAAGGCGAAAAACCTCCAGGGCCTCTGCCAATCTACCCTGGAGGAAAATTCCTTCCTGACCCCAAATATGGCAATCAGCTGAACCCCGAGCATGTGAGCAAGATTCTCTAGCCAGACCCTCTGGAAAAAGTTCTCTGTAGTAACTTTTAATATCCCATCATTGACCATTGTTACTAATTACCAGCGATGGCGCGTTATTGACCTATTGACTAAAATCACTTTATCCCATCAAACCATCCCCTCCATAAACTTATCAAGCTTAATCTTAAAGCCAGAGAGGTCTTTCACCCCCACTGTTTCCCTCAGAAGGCTGTTCCAAAACTTCACCCCTCTGATGGTTAGAAACCTTCATCTAATTTCAAACCTAAACTTCCCAACGGCCAGTTTATATCCATTTGTTCTCGTGTCCACATTAGTACTGAGCTGAAATAATTCCTCTCCCTCCCTGGTATTTATCCCTCTGATATATTTAAAGAGAGCAATCATATCTCCCCTCAGCCTTTTTTTGGTTAAGGTAAACAAACCGAGCTCCTCGAGTCTCCTTTCATACGACAGATTTTCCATTCCTCGGATCATCCTAGTGGCCCTTCTTTGTACCTGTTCCAGTTTGATTTCATCCTTTTTAAACATGGGAGACCAGAACTGCACACAGTACTCCAAATGAGGTCTCACCAGTGCCTTGTATAACAGAACCAGCACCTCCTTATCCCTACTAGAAATACCTCGCCTAATGCACCACAAGACCGCATTAGCTTTATTCACGGCCACGTCACATTGCCGACTCATAGTCATCCTGCGATCAACCAGGACTCCGAGGTCCTTCTGCTCTTCCATTACTTCCAACTGATGCATCCCCAGCTTATAACTAAAATTCTTGTTAGATGTACGGTTTACTATGCCTGACCGAAGGTCAAAACATTTCACCATACAGTCTTGATGACCTTTGCTTGTTTCATGCTGCTGAAGTCTTTTTGACAGTGCTTTCCAAGCAGATGTTCCACGACGTAGCGGTATGTTGCCAGTGCCAAATAATTTACAACAAAAACAAAAAATGGCATCTTTCTGAACTGAGTACATTAACCATGAACGTCTTATTTTCTCGCCATTTGCCATGGTTCGATAGAAATGAGTACTTGTGAACCTCCATCTTTCCTCGTTAAATGGAAATTCGTAACTTTCATTCTGCTGCGGTGGGCCACGTGCAACAATGTCACACACTTGCCTGTCCGATATTATAGACGGCCAATCTCCTGGATCATCAGTCAGTGGTTCAGATTCAGATATTTCTTTCCCGGCAGCAGCTGGAATATCTGTCACAGTTTGTTTGGTAGAACAACTGGCTTCACCTTCGACCTCACTTGAAGCACTTCTGGATACTTCTGGATACGATTCGTCGCTGCTAGCGCTGTCCGTTTCATGTGCCTGTACCTGTACGTTGGATTGCAGCGCAAAATACGTTGACAACTTTGGAATTTTCTCAAGTTCCTTCTCGGCATCTTTTGCTTACTAGCTCTTATACGTTCTCTTAGACATCACAAAGCACGCTTCTCCGTTGGAAACAAATCGTTTCAAATGATAAAAAATTAAACAACTAAATTAATAACATTTATCTGCTGACCACCATTATGAACGCAAATACACATTCTTTGAATGGGTCCAACTAAAATTCGAAACTGACCGACAGACAACTGATGTAGCCAATAGCGTTATGATGTATCATAATGACTTCACGGTTTTGTCAGTAAAATCGACATGGATTGTGCAATAGCGTCAATAAATGTCACTTACCTAGTTATACCTTACACTTTTTTTGCCACTTTTAGGGGCCCCCTTCCTTGCGGGGCCCCCTCCGGTCGGAGCGTATGGAGGGCGCTCGCTACGCCTCTGGAACCATCAGCATAACACAACTGCCCGCTTTCTTAGCTCTGTTTCTAGTACAGCAAAGTTATATTTTACATGAGTATATTGGTAAAGATAAAAGCCAAGGGCTATCTTTTTTGCTGTGCCTCCCGGGAGATGCAGCATAGGGAGCAAAACAGGTCAAAGACAGCTTTACCCTAGAGCGAAATTCAACATTTTCTTATGAGAAAAAGGACAATTTTTCAAAAGAAATGTTCATTAAAATGTGTCCTGATTTGACCAGTTCTATTTATGCCACCTTTGCTACCTCTAGATTGTGAGCTACTCTGTGTGTGTGTGTGTGTGTGTGTGTGTGAAATGGGTCCCTGAGGACTGCGCTGACTTACAATAGCCTTCTCAGGGCTTGTCTATGGCTTTGCAGCAGTCCCAGAGCGCTCAGAGCTAGAGGCATATGCACTCCAACCCCCTTCCACCATATGCTGGGGCTTCTGAGGGGGAGGCACAGGGCTGTTCATGTTCGCTCTAACTGCTCCTATAGCGGGCCCTTGCAACTCCGTATATAGCCCTTATTCATGACTGTAAGGGCCAGAATTGGTGCCAACAATTCTATAATTATATTCATATCAGAAAGTCTGACAGGTATAATGTAACAAATTAGAAAATAAAACAACAGTGATGCCTCTGTTCAGCAGAGAATTGAACTGATTCATACTATTTAAGAACAGTTCCTGTCTCTGAGATCACTTATATCTTACCATAAATCAAGTACTTGTACATCTTGTATGGAGATAGGTTGAAGACCCTATATTTGCTACAGAAGTAATTTTGGAGCTGGCTCTGCATTTCCTGTTTCATGCTTAATAAGAGCTATTCCTTTCTTTTTTGGTTCTTGCTATTTAACCATTCTGGATGAAATAGGGGGCACATTTGGCTAACATCAGTAGGAATATGAGGGTGTTATTTTGGCCACCAAGGAATGAATATTGTTCCAGAGCTGCAGACCTATGTTGAAAATTGCACACAAATGAATTTTTAAAAAGATACAAAGACTATAGTGCTCAAACAATGTCTGAGGAAGGTGTGTGTGTGCATGTGCATGTGTTTGTGGGAGTGGGGGAGGTTGTGCAAGGCAATCCTGCAGGGTTGGAAGAGGGTGAGGAGACTTCACGCCCTGTCCCTATCCCCACCGCCTCGAGAATTGTAGGGGGTTAGTGAGAGGACTCCAAACATTGCCTTGGTCCCACAAAAGGGAATCAAGTTTGCCAAGGAGAACAGTGCAGGGCATCTCTCTGCAATATCCTGCCTAGACAGGGGCAAACCACCAGGAATCCCCAAGTCCTGCAAGCCTAGAGGAGGCTTCTAAAGATATAGGGGGAAGAGAATGAAATTCTGGTGTTGCTCTTTTTCTACACCTTTCTCCTCATCTGCATTTCTGTTCAAATTAGGTAAATTAGTGTAAATATATGCACATTGATGTGTCTCTGCAATCTACTGACTTTCATTTTTAAGCTTTTGGCAGCCCAACATTTTGCCCACAGCTTGTCTTGAGTTGAACCCACTCCTTTACTGAGTTTCGAACACAAGACAATGACTCAATAGCTGTCTTTTGCTCTTAAAATAAACAGCTTGCTTTACTGGGGCACTGAGCCATCAGTGATGGACAATCATTGGGGCACAAACCTACCTATATCCAAAACGATGAGGAGCTTGTTTGGATAATGAGTTACACCTGCAGTGTTTGATTATACCCCCCTCTTCCATCCTCCTTCACTAGGAGAAACAGCTGCACCTTTGAGGATTTGGCCTAGAAGAGAGCAGCAAGTTGTGATTGTTCTCTGGGATCCCTGCAAGCAGAGGCTGCATTACATTTCCCCTTGCCCCACCAGACAGTGCCTTGGCTAGCATAATCAAAAGTGAATCAAACTTGTAAAATGAGAGAAATTATTCTAGTATGGCGTTAGCATTGGAACAGAACTGAAAAAGTGACTCGTCTGAATGGCAAACTTTTCCCTCAGCCAGTTATATGTAGTTTTTGCTCTGTTTTAAAGATGGAAATTTATTTTTCTTCCATTTGGATAAAGCTCAAAGGCAGGTTTCTATCATGGACAATGGGACTGCCTGATATTGTAAGAAGGGTTCCCCTGGCAATTCTTGAAATCTCTACTTGTGTGATGTGTGGAAATGGAGAAAAGGGGTCAGATCCCAGAAGACACCAGTTTGGTGTGACACCAGGGACTCAGGAGTACAAGTTTGGTCAAGCTGCTATTTGGCAGACACAGGCCTGTCAGCATGCTCAATAAAAATCTCTTTCCTACAGTTCTGCCTGTTTACTCCATCACTTGCTTCTAATGAAGCAGTAACAACATTCTTATGCTCCTCTTATTTTCTTAATATGGTTCTGGCAGCACTGGTCACCACTTCTTACCAATTGCAGCAAATAGCCCAGTTCTTCCCAACAAATGATACCATTTGTCACTTGGGGATTTTGCAAACTTTCATAAGGCAAAATCATGAGATTTAAAAAAACAATAGTAAATTTTGGTTTCTTTTCTTTGCGGTCTGCTTTCTGAGCCTTAGGGTGCACTTGCTTCATGATTTCAAGCTTTTCTCCACATCTGTGAGGGCTAGTAACTTATTTTACTTTTAAACAAAAGCTGAAATTCTTATGCAGTCTCTTGTTTCCAGCACCTGGGGGTTTAAGAAAAACAAAAGATCATGAGACTTGTAATCAAAATCTCAGGCACTGGCAATACTAGATAAATGGCAAAGCTAATGTGGAGACTGAGTTAAGCCCAGATTTGGGCACTGAATGCATCATTCTGTAACAACTCAGCTGAAGTCTCATTGCAAACCCTTTGTCACTGGGATGCCAGGGAATGCTGCTTTCTAGGATGTGCTCAGCAAACCAGGAAGCACCAGAAAGATTTCACAGAGGGGAATTATTTTAGTAAAATAATTACAAGCTTGTACATTTTTCTTTGCCGTGTGCCCCCATGATCTAGCGAGTGGGATCATTCCCCCAGTAAATATATGCTTAACTCAATTTTCATTTTATCATTGCAGTTCACCATTAACAGCAAAGCTTCTAGTGCTCTTGAATGTTGTCAGCGTTAGATCTGAAAATCCCATAGGACCCAAGCACACATCCTTTATACACACAAGGCTCTTCCCAACTCTGTTAAAAAACAAGTTAGACTTCCATAACTTTGACTTCAGATCTGTTGTAATTACCAGCAAATATACAGCTTCCCCTAACTTCTCATGCTCTGCAAATGACCAGCTTCTATTTTCCTCTCCTAATTATTTCCTTTCATTTGCAGTAAGCATTTAATCAAAATGGCTTAATTTTGCATTAGGGATGCTGGCTTTCCTACCTACTAAAGCATTCATCTCTTCCTGTGATGGTGCCAGAGCTATCATTGAAATAATGATGCAAACCATCATTTCTCCAGATGATTGAGGCTCCCCCTTCCCATAATTAGTGTAAAAGTCTCTATGGGCTACACTATTACAAAGTATACAGTGCTGAGGAAGAAGGTGCTCAGAATACTCAGGCTGGGCTCCTGCATCTCCCCATGATGTAATATCTACAAAAGCAAGTTGGTTCTGAATTTACGAAGTTGTTTCTATTCCTGTTTAAGGTTTTTATTATACTTATAGTAGGATTTTTTAAATAAATCAATCTTCTAAATATTGCTTTTATTACATACCTTTTAAAACTAATTTTATATTCACAAGAAATAAGTAGTAGAAATAACAGCCTCATGAAACCAAAGCAGCATTTTTCTATGCATGCAGAATTCAAGTTGCTTTTAGGCTATATACTACATAGCCTGTTTAGCTATCATTAATGCATATCATTGCAGTTGTATTTTTGTTTACTGGAGAGAGTACGATGAAGAAATTTCTGGTTGTCTCTGCTGCATACGTTATGTGAAGTCGATAACAATTCTGATAGAGGGTTTCTGGTAACATAGCTCCTGACTTTGTTCCCATAGTTTGCCCTATGGCATAGCACCCTACAGGGAGAGCAGTTTGTTTCTTACTCCCGATACCTATCCTAAATTGAATAGAAAGAAGCTGCACCTTGAAAATTTGGAGAGGGTTGGTGCTTTGGAACCAGCTTTTTAGTCTAAACATTTTTGCCAAATAGGAACCAGAAGAACAAATGTGTAACAAAAAAACCCAGGATTCTCCTTATTCACACCAGTGCAACTCTATTGAAATAACCAGAACTACAGTGGTATGAGAGGATAATCTAGTCATGAAGAAATGATAGTATCAACGAGACAGTAAGTAGAGTCACCAGTCACACAGTAGGTCATAGCTGTTAATGAGAGCAGCCACTGCAGTGTAGAAATGGATCTGGCCATTGGGCGTACTTCAAAGAAATGAGTGAATGTGCAGTTTTTGGTTTATGAAGAGATACATACTCCCCTATATTAGCAGTCTCTGGACCACTATGGAGTGCTTGTGAAATATTCTGACAACTAAATGGTGGGAGATTGCGGTGCTGAGAGCTGAAGTGGCCCAGGGAGAGGATCTTTCTCTGCAGAAGGACAAAACTG